CTTCCATCTGTAATCAAGCCACAAACTCAAGAACTATTGATTGTTTAACATGATTAAATGTGCCTTGGAAGATGATTTGGGTAGCAAAGGGGTGCTTGATCAACTGAATACAGGAAGAAAGAGCAGGATAATACTATTCTTTTAACCTGAGTAAGTGTTATATTCATCTTCTGATGAAAGAGTTCAAGGGTAACAGCAGCAATATGTTCTATAGCTCCTTTCAGTTTGACAGCAATTAAAAGTGCAGGAAACTGTGTGAATTAGGCACTCAGACATTTTAATGAAGGATCTGGAAGTCTTACACCTTTGTTTGCAGGACTATTATATTAGAAGAGCTTCCCTTAAAAATAATTTATTTATCTGTTTGCTGGCCTTCCATGATGTCTTACACACGGAGATGGGACCTTGTGCAGATAAAACATAAAGCACAGCAGCATGTGGCAGGTTCCCCCACAGTTTCCCTGCCCTAGTTCCCATGGCCACCATGGCTTTTGCAATTTTGGAGGGATAAGATGTGTTACAAAAATATTGTTGTTTCAGTACACAGTTGTAAGTATAGGTGTAGCAGGTTCTTTCAATTTTCAGCTTTCATTAAAAAAAGTAAGTCTCTTATGCTTTTCCCTTGAAGATATGTATTTTCTGTTGTATCTCCACAGCAGAGCAGGATAGAGACTTTTGTTGTTGTTCAGTCACACAGTCGAGTCCGACTCTTCGCGACCCCAAGGACCACATCATGCCAGGCCCACCTATATTCCCCCGTCCTCCACAGTTTCCTTAATTTCATGTTCGTTGCATCAATAACACTGTCTAACCATCTCATCCTTTGCCGTCCCCTTCTTCTTTGACCTTCAATCTTTCCCAGCATCAGGGTCGTCTCCAGTGAGTGCTCCCTTCTCATTTGGTGGCCAAAGTATTTGAGCTTCAGCTTCAGTATCTGGCCTTCCAGGGTTGATTTCTTTCAGGATTGACTGATTTGATCTCCTTGCAGTCCAAGGGACTCTCAAGAGTCCTCTCCAGCACCAGGCCGTATCTGGATAGCTCAGGCTGAGCCGGTTGAAGCTGAACCCGGCGAAGACGGAGGTCCTGTGCCTGGGTCGGAACGGGATGGGATTGGGGTTCCCGCTCCCGGCCTTCGACGGGGCACCTTTGGTGCCAGCTTCGGAGGTTAGGAGTCTGGGAGTGCTCCTGGACTCCACCTTAACGATGGAGGCCCAGGTGGCAGCCACTGCCAAAGCAGCCTTCTATCATCTCCGGCTGGTGCGGCAGTTGGTCCCCTTTCTCAGGCGCGAAGACCTAGCCACAGTGATCCATGCGACGGTCACCTCGAGGCTAGACTACTGCAACGCTCTCTACATGGGGCTGCCTTTGTCGCTAATTCGGAGGCTGCAGCTAGTGCAGAATGCGGCGGCCAGGCTGGTTGTTGGTGTCTCAAAATGGGACCACATCCAGCCTGTGCTCAAAGCGCTGCACTGGCTGCCTATAGCATACCGGATTCGCTTCAAAGTGGTGGTGCTTACCTTTAAAGCCCTATATGGCCAGGGTCCGGCATACCTGAGGGACCGCCTTGCCCCACACAGGCCCTAAAGAGCACTTCGGTCGGGGTCGCAACATCATCTTGCGACCCCGGGTCCTAAATAGGCCAGGCTTGCTGCCACAAGGGCCAGGTCCTCTCGGTGGCGGCTCCTATCTGGTGGAATGAGCTCCCGGAGGAGATCAGGGCCCTGCGGGCCCTGTTACAGTTCCGAAGGGCCTGTAAGACGGAGCACTTCCGCCAGGCTTTCGAATAGGAGGCGCCACCACCACTGTGCCATCAACGCTCTATAATCTCAGCACATTACCATCGCTAGCGTGGGTTCCATCGGAGGGAGCAGGACGTTTTTTAGGGGACGGTGGGGCAGTGGGAATATGCACTGCTGCTGTTGTGTGGCTATACCATTGAGAACACCATTTTGGCTTAAAACTTGGAAGTGGGTAAGGGAGCACCGAACGTTTGTTATGAATTTTATCTAATCGGTCTATTTTGTATTTTAGTATTTTATACTGCTTTATTGTTATTATCTGGCGCTATGCCTCTGTAAGCCGCCCTGAGCCTTCGGGGAGGGCGGGATATAAATCCAAATAAATAAATAAATAAATATCACACTTTTTAGTGCCAACGCGCTCCTGTTGGCTTAATAAGGTTTGGGATCACCACATCATAGAAAAAATTACAGATCGCATCAGAGGTCATTTCGGGGGGGAACGCGGGGGAACGCAGTTCCCCCGGGTGAGGTGCAGGGGGCGAGGCACATGATGAAGCCCCGCCCCCTGCTTCCGGCCGCCCCACTTCCAGCCCTCATTCAGCCAGGAGGAGGCAGGAGAAGAGGGA